CCAGAACAGAGGCCCGAGCCTCCGTCTCTTGCGACGGCCTGAACTATTACGCAGGCCCAAAAAACATTCGTCGAGGGGACAACTCGTCCGACGCTGGGAAGCTCTCTAAATCAAGAGTGCCGACCAGGAAGGACGGGACCACTCGCCCAGGTGAACTTCGCTTCTCAGGTCATATCCCTGATGCGAATAAACCACTCCAGACAAGCGAACCCTCGAGGGTTGGCGAGTCTCGCCATAACCTTTTGGCGGATAAACATAAAGGCAAAGCAGTAGACGACACCTCGCAAACCCGCCCGCACGGGAGAGGGGTTGAAACTCGCCTGCATACCGGAGTTCGCCCAAACGCGAAGACCCGCTAGTCAAGGCGGGATCGCCTAAAGCGCTCCACCCAGTGCACGCTAGAGAGTACCTCCAAACCTCTCTCGTGTGATCACCCGGGTCATCCTTCTGACGCTGGGGGTTGTTTCCAACCACTCGCAGAAGACCTCCGGGGCTATCTGACTCGCAAGCGCACCATACATGAGGCCAATCCTCGGTGCCATTGCGAAAAGATCATCCAGACAGTACTCGCCGACTGTCAAGGCATAGAAAAGGCGAAACCTTCGGTGTTCGAGAGACTCTCTCGACATCCTTCTCGACCAAGGCCCTCTTGTCGAAGGTGTCACCACCAAAAAGGGCACGCCTTCGACGATAGAGAACTCTCATCCGCTACTGTTAACATGGCGGATAAGGGTAAAGCCGTCCTTCATGGTTCTCGAGATTCAGACTCCGTGTTGGAACCTAATCCTCTGTTCGCCCGACGTGAGCAAGACGGTATATGTCGCCGTACTCGTAGTTGCACGGGGGTGAGCATTGGGTTCGATTATTCGACCTTAATGCCTCCCTCCGACGGTGAAGACGAAACTCACTCGGCAGCAGCTACGTCCCAGACGTCGCAATCAAGTCGGGACACACTGGCGAGGGCACATATGGCTGACGTCACCCACGACCAGACGGTAGCCCAAAAGCTCGAGGAGCAACAGGCGACCATCGATTCCCTAAGGGAAATGATGGAACAACTTCTCAACAAGAAGAAGAAGAAGAGAGCCCAACGCACCTTACACCGACGAGCAGGAGATACGGAGTGGGAACCTCCCCATCGTCCGCCAACCGAGACGGAAGACAACACCGGTCCGCAATCCGACTACTCTTCCAAGACATCGTTGGGGACGTCGCATACTGGGGGTAGCACCCGCGACAAGAGGTTCGACGAGTTCCAAAATCAACTCAACGCCCTCAAGCTTCAGCAGAACATGAACAAGCTGGGGGTGGTCCGACCCTACCCTGTTGAATGGGATACAATCCCTTACCCGGCGAAGTTCAAGCCCATCAGCTTGGTACAATTCAACGGCAAGGGCTCGCCCTCGCAACACATCTATTACTTCATGGCGCAGACCGGATTCCTGACGGGAAACGACGCCATTCTTACTCGACTATTCATCGGCACCCTCAAGGGGGTGGCCTTTGAATGGTTTCGCAAGTTAGAACCCGGTTCCATCAAGTCATGGGCCGATGCTGAGAGACTCTTCCTGGCTCGCTTCTTCGATGACGACACGGAGGTGTCGATGGCCACCCTCCTCGTCAAGAAGCAACGGAAGTCAGAGTCAGTCAACGACTTCGTGAAGAGGTTCCGGAACCGGTCCGTCCACTGTCAGGACCAAGTTTCCAAATCCATGCTGATCGAGATGTGCCGCAACAATCTCTCGATCCACATCCTATCCAAAGTGGGCGCGGTGGAAACCCGAACATGGAAGGAGCTTGTTCGTCAAGGCGAGCAAGTAGAAAACATGATCAAGAAGGGAACCACGGAACCAGCCGTACCGAAGAATCCCCCTCGAACAAGGGGAAAAGAGATCATGGCCGTCGATTCCGCCCTGGCGCCAAAGGCTACTCAGAGGTCGAAACCCAGGCAATTTGAACCACGCCCCCGCGGCATTATGACTTCAAAGAAGATCAGGTGGTGGCAACGCTCGATACTCTGCTCAAGAGCGGTCGGATCAAGCTACCGGAGGCCACGAAGCCCGAGGAGGCGGACAAAACCAACGAACCAGGTTACTGCGCCTACCACAGATTCCTGGGACATCACATGGCTAAGTGTTACATCCTCAAGGACAAACCCTAAGCTCTTTACGACGCGGGAGTCCTAAAGAAGGAGAAGGTTCAAAAGCAGGTGACCACGAATATGATCACCCTGAGCTTTGGAACAGGTCTCCCAGAGGTCCAAGCCCCGGTAGGGAGGACTCCTATCCCCAAGGTGGTCTTGAAGGTCATCAATGATGACCCTTACAATCAGCGAGAGAAAGGTCTAACTCCGCAGATTCTGCCGTCAGGCCAAGTGATGTGGGTCCATCCGGACCTCCTCACTGACGAACAATGGACTACAAAGCCCTCGAAAGAGGTTAAGGGAAAACATTACAATGTCGTCTCCACCATCATAGGTAGGGAAAAGACGGCAATGACCGCCCTGACCGACTCCGAGGAGGAAGCCACTGTTCTCTCCATGAGAGCAGGGAAGGAATTCGCGAAGGAATACCCGCAAGAAGGAAGAACCGGGAGGACTCCGCAGACCAGCTGCAACAAACCCCTCCCAATCCTGGGGGGCAGGCTCAACCTGGCCAACATTTCTAGCACAATACCTGTGGCTCGCATGAGCTGAAGACGCGTCCCTGCTTGCATCCATTACGAATCTCCTGCCGACTGTCCAGACCTACCCGAGAAGCTCTGCAAGAGGCACTCGCCGACTCGGAGGTTTTCTCCACCCACTTCTCGAGGGAGGAGGACGCGGGACAGGAATGCGCAACGTGTTGCCAAACGTCCGAGAGACGGGTCCCGTGCATCACCTTCACCCCGGAGGACATGCTCATCAAGAGCACATCCCATGACCGACCGCTGTACTTCACGGGGTACGTCGGTTCGGCGAAAGTGGATCGAATCCAGGTCGACCCAGGTTCTGCATTGAGCATCATCCCTCTGGAGTTGATCAAGCGCTTAGGGATACCATCGAAGCACCTATCCTCGACCACGACGACCATCTTTGGCTTCAATGCCACGGGGACTCGGCCGATCGGCAAGATCCGCCTGAAATGTTGAATAAGCGACATGAAGACGGAGGTAACCTGCTATGTTATCAACGCTGAGCCTTCCTACAACATGCTCTTAGGACGTCCGTAGATCCATGCTAACCGGATAGTCCCGTCCATGTTGCACCAGTGCCTAAAATACGTGGATAATTACGAGCAAGTGAAGACGGTGGTGGCTGACAAGCAACCCTTCAAAGGCGTCGAGAACTACTTCATGGATTCTCTGCTGTACCAAGACCCCGACGAGCCACCGGTCGAAGAACTAGAGAGCGACAACGAGGCAGACAGCGAGCCCGAATACGGCGACAATCTAATCTTGAACGACTTCGAGTCAATTGAAATTGGTTAGGAGAGTCATAATGTAACCAACGCTGTTCAGGCGGAAAAGATTATCATGAATAAAAAGTCAAACTTTTCTTACTTGTCGTCTTGTTCCACGTCCGAGGATGAGGATCCTAATAACCTGTTGTCAAAACTCTACGGCGATCCCTCCCTACACTTGCCGGTATGCTCGTCGTACGTTGCAAGGGCACAGCCGATCAAATCATCGCAAGCTGTGTTCGTCGTGCCAGCCCGGAAGCATTATCAAAAAGATATTATCTTCGGCCGAGTCGATCACCCCCTACGCACCTTATGGGATGAATCAGAAGACGAGGACCCAACGACCCAGTTTTCGCAATACAGTCAGGTTGCGAAGCGCATGATGAGCGAGATGGGGTATGATCTCACACGTTTAGAGGGCCTGAATTACGGCCGAGGGTGCAAAACGGTCATCCGACCTGCTTACGTGCCCAAAGGAAAACCTTCCAATTACTTCAACAGGACTCGGAGAGGCTTAGGCTACTCCTCCTCCTCTTCGGAGTTGTGTTTCTACGCCAACGAGGATTCCGATTATGCGTGTTCGGGAGACCAATCGTCATCAACCTCGGCATGGGACTCAGATGTCAGCGTGAGGGATCTATTCGATGGCCTTACGATCAACATGGCTACGATAGACCCCTTCGAAATGGCGGAGGATGGACGAATTCCGCTCTATGACGAGACATGGGATCGCCATGTTAATGCCCAATGGAGCAGTCGCTTCGAGCAGCGTGAGCCACCAACCGAGGACGAAATCCTCCAGGTGAACATGGGTGACGAGGCAAACCCCAAGCCCATATTCATCAGCGGCAGCCTACCTCCCCAGGAGAAGGAGGACCTCATTGACCTCATACGGGAGTACATCGACATCTTCGCATGGAATTATGAGGATATGCCCGGTCTGGATCCACGGGTCGCCACGCATCGCCTCAACATCGGCTCAGACACCAACCAGTCAAGCAACAGCAGAGGCGATTTCGCCCTCAGATCATGGAGGCGATCGAGGCTGAAGTGAAGAAGCTAATCGAGTCCGGCTTCATCAGGGAGGAGCAACACCCCGACTGGGTGGCTAATATTGTTCCGGTCCTGAAGAAAAATGGTAAGATCCGCATCTGCATCGACGTTAGAAACCTCAACGCTGCATGTCCCAAAGATGAATTCCCTCTGCCCATCACGGATGTCATCATTGACAACACGTACGGATTCGAGAGGATGTCCTTCATGGATGGTTTCTCGGGGTATAATCAAATCAAATTGCACCCCGAGGACGAGAAACACACTGCATTCAGAACTCCGATGTGGGTGTATTGCTACACTGTTATGCCCTTCGGACTCAAGAACGCAGGCGCAACCTACCAGCGTGCCATGAGTTTGATCTTTCAGGATTACCTCCGGAAGACGGTCGAATGCTACATAGACGACCTGGTCGTGAAGAGTCGCCATAAAGAGGACCACCTTCAAGACCTGAGGGCGATGTTCGAACTCATGAGGACTCATCAACTCAAGATGAATCCTACTAAGTCATTCTTGGGGATGTCCAGCGGCAAATTCCTTGGCTTCGTCGTCACGACAAAAGGGATCCAGATCGACCCAGATAAGGTGCGAACTATCCAGGAGCTTCGACCACCCCAAAATCTTAAAGAGCTAAGAGGCCTTCAAGGACGATTGGCTTACATCCGAAGGTTCATCTCGAATCTTTCGGGTAAGTGTCAACCCTTCTCCAAACTAATGAAGAAAGGCACTTCCTTCGTATGGGATGAGCCTTGCCAACGGGCCTTTGAAGAGATTAAGGACTATCTCTCAAATCCGCCTGTCCTGGCGGCTCCGGTCTCCGGAAAGCCGTTCCTCATCTATATACGGGCTATGGAGCATTCTCTAGGCGTCCTCTTGGCACAAAATGACGACAAAGGATACGAACAGGGCATCTACTACCTAAGTAGAACCTTGCAAGGTGCCAAACAGCGATACCCGATGATCGAAAAGGAATGTCTGGCCTTGGTATTCGCCATCCAAAAGATGCGACACTACTTGGTAGGCCAGACAATCCACATCATCTCCCGGATGAACCCCATCCGAGTTTTCATGATGCAGCCCGCCGCGCTAAACTGGCGTCTGGCCAGGTGGGCACTTCTGTTGTCCCAATACGACATCCATTTCATGCCACAAAAGTCAGTCAAGGGACAGGCCATCTGCGATCTTATGGCTAGTCACCCACTGGGAGCGAAAGCAGACCTATTTGAAGATTTGCCTGATGAACCGCCTGAAGCCAATGTAACTTCATCATCAGAGGTTTGGCAAATGTTCTTTGATGGCGTGTCTCGCACAGGCCCGAGCGGCTCTATTGTTGCAGGAGTGGGGGTGGTCTTCACTTCTCCACATAACTACGTGCTGCCCCGAGCCTTCTCGTTAACTGAGCCCTGCACCAACAACGTGGTTGAGTACAATGCATTACTCATCGGGTTCGAATTAGCGAAAGAATTAGGGATAAAGCGCCTCGAGGCGTATGGCGACTCTCAGCTTATCGTCAAGCAAGTGACCGGTGAGTACGAGGTTCGAAATGACGATCTAATCCCACTTCACAGAGCGGCAATCAAGCTGATGGGGTCATTCGAAAGCTTCCACATCGAACATGTGCTACGTTCCAAGAACACTCATACGGACACCCTTGCCTCCTTGGCAGCCAACATGGCCCAACCGCTGGGGACATCCCAATGGGTCACTGTGGCAAGCCGGAGCTCTTTCGACCGAAAGATGTCCTAGAGGCAAACACCACTCATCAAGTCTCAGATCAGCCCGATCTGGAAGACTGGCACCTCCTAATCATCGATTACGTTCTGTACGGCATGTTGCCTGAAGACGCAAGAGAACGGGAGTCTGTCCGACGACGTGCTTCGAGGTTCTACTACGATTCGACCACCAAGACGTTATATCGGAGGTCATACGACGGCTTGTTGCTTCGATGCCTTTCAAAGGCAGAGGCACAGGAGGCCCTACGAGAAGCCCACAGCAGCACTTGCGGGGCTCACCAACCTGGACCCAAGCTTTGGGACCGCCTGTGGAGGATAGGCTATTTTTGGCCTGGGATGGTTATCGACGCAGTCGCCTACGCAAGGCGCTGCAACGAATGCCAAATCCACGCCATCTATATGCACCAACCTCCCGAAGACTTGTACCCGACGAAGGCTTCCTGGCCATTCGAAGCGTGGGGGATGGACATAGTCGGACCAATATCCCCGCCATCGGCGAGAGGTCATCGATTCATCCTCGCGATCACCGACTACTTCTCTAAATAGGCCGAAGCCATCCCCTTAAGAGAGGTCAAGACTAATGATGTGATCAAATTCATCAAACACCATGTCATCTACCGATACGGTGTACCCCGGCGTATCATTCATGACAACGGCACGCAGTTTGTCAGCCATGCGTTCACCAGGTTTTGTGACAAATTCTGAATACAAAACCTGTCATCCACGGCCTACAACCCTTCGGCGAATGGTTTGGCCGAGGCCTTCAACAAAACAATCATCAAGATTTTGACCAAGCTAACCTCCACTAGCAAACGTGACTGGAATGAAAAGCTAGGCGAAAGCTTGTGGGCATATCGCACAACGGTTCGCACACCGACTGGCAGCACACCCTATTCATTGGTATACGGCTATGAAGCTGTGTTGCCTTTGGAGATTCAAATCCCGTCCCTCCACGTCGCCCTAGCAACGGGGATGACAGTTGAGGATAATCACCAACGACGGCTCGCAGAGCTTGAAGCGTTGGACGACAAACGATTAGAAGCTCAACAGCACATTGAGTTCTATCAAGCCCGAATGGCTAAAGCTTTCGACAAGAAAGTCAGGCGCCGAGCCTTCAAGGAAGGAGAACTGGTACTGGCCATTCACCGACTGATGATTCTCACTTCCAAGAAGAAGGGCAAATTTCAGTCCAAATGGGAAGGACCATTCGTAGTAGAGACAGTCTACTCGAACGGCGCCTACCGCCTCGTCAAGCCAAACGGCGACAAGATCATGATGCCCATCAACGGCAAATATCTGAAGAAGTACTACCCCTAGTTCTTCTGCACCAACTCCCACGAGTGCACGAGTCTAAACTGGCCCTCAAAATCCTCCAACCGGTATAAGAGGTAAAACTGTTCCTACACTTCCATTTTTTGCCAGATTACCAATACAGGCGAACCGCTGAGTACAGGCAAACCACTCGGATCAGGCGAACCGCTAATATCAGGCGAATTGCTCAGATCAGGCAAGCCTATCAGTCTAGATGAAATCCATTTCCGGAGCCAGATTCCCAGTACAGGCGAACCGCTCGGTACAGGCAAATCGTTCAAATCAAACAAAGCCTATCAGTCTAGGCGAAATCCACTTCTTGAGCTAAGCTCCCTGTTTTGGCGAACTTCTCAAAACAAGCGGGACTAGCATCTCAGGTGGGCTACATCAAACGCCCACTTGGTCAAACCTTCAGACAGTTAGGACCAAAGCTACAATCCCCCGCCAATCCTTTTCAATAGGATGGCGGGACCCCCACTGTCACTTTCGACAGAATCAACTTACCAATCCTCTTCTAAAGGATGGTGGGTCCTCAAAGTCGTTCCAATCACGACAATCTCTGTCACGTTAACATCAAACCTCTGACAAAACCCACTTACCAATCCTCTTCAGAAGAATGGTAGGTCTCCATAGTTGCTCTGATCGCAACAAATCCCCATCAGGTTAATGATCACCTCTGATGATTGGCGCCGTTATTCCTACGAGTAACACAGCCTAAAGTAATAACCTACCATGCGACGTGTTATTACTTCTGTCAATAGTCACACTCCTACGTCCCTGAACTACTTGACCTATTCTAGATATCCTAAACATTCCCTTAGGGTAACTGATGGGTAGTAGCCTACCACGCGATGGCTCCTACAACGATCAATCGTCACATTCCTACATCCCTGAACGATTCGATTATCATCTGTTCGACAGACGACCTGTCTGCCGATTCCCCAAGCAACAACTCGCCGAGTGGCGAGTCAAAGCTGGGTTCTTCATTTGGCCACAGGAACGAACGATTGTTCTCTGCTGCAAGCCAAGTGTTACTCTCTTGATCCCATCTGAGCTGCAACGCGAAAATCGGAGTTAACCCGATCCCACGCTGTGAGCAACCGAGGGCAGAACGAGAGCCTAAAACGACTAAATCCAAAACAAAATAGTCAGAGGCTCGCCCAGTTCGACTCAAGTGCCAAACAGCGCAGACAAAAGAAAGAAAACTATTCATATGAAGCAAAAATAAGCAAAAGCTAAAGGCCATTACGGGCCAGAGTTTACATGCATAGGTTTTCCAGTTGTGATGCCCGAGGCACCAACTAAGTTAACAAAACAACAAAAAAAAAAGAGAGGACTTAGACAGCATGAGTATTACAGGAATTTCAGCAGGCTAAAAGAACCAATCTTAGCCTTGGCCGCCGCACGATCCGCCTCACGACGGATCCTCGCCTTCTCCTTTTGCTCCTGCTGCCGCTTGGGTAAGTCCACCTCGCTGTCTTCTTCCTCTTGGCGAAGAAGTTGGAGCGCCCGGTCCACCGTCCCGGCAGCCTCGCTGAGCCTCCTCGCCTCACGTTCATGCTCCCGAACTCAAAGAAAGCGGTGTCCAAGTAGGCGTCCATCCGGTCCAACACCACTTGGTGTTGCTTACGCAGATGTTTGAGCTCGGCCTCCTTCACCCGAATCCGCTTCGCCCGCTCTTCACGTTCGAGTAGGAGGCGCAGTGAGAGGGGCGGTGGCACGTCAGAGGGATCGTCATATGCCAGCTCCTCGAGGCGATACATCCACCCCTCCACGCGATGAAGTTCCTGCTCACACTGCTGTGTGACCGAGGTACCACCCGCGCGGCGGACCTCCCTTAAACCTGCTTCCACGAGAGGAAGCGCATCATAATACCTCCCGTCGCCCACGCCGACCGAGATGGCGATCCCCTGCACCAAACCCTCCAACCTCTGTAGGGGCACGAACGCAGGGTGAGCCACGGGGTCCGGAGCAGAGGACCCCTGGACCGAGCCCGCAGGAGAAGCCAGCGGCGTACCGACGTTGATGACGGTGGCAGAAGAGCCAACGCCCTCAGAATCGCTGTGGTCAGAAGCGGAAGCCATGAGACAGGGAAGTTTGCTGCAGCGATCTTCTTCTAGCGGATTTTTCTCGAAGCAGTAAGAACTCTGCTGTAGAAGGGAGAGTACGGATATATAGTCAAAAAAACCGACAGCTGAGATTTGTTACCTCAAGCGAACGATCGGTCCAGGTGTCCTACGACGCTTCGAACTCAACGCCAATAAAGGCCAGTCCTCTCGAGACCCCAAACCGACCGATCGGATTGAGCACGAGAGGCGAAGCGTTCGGTCACTTCACCATTAATGGGCATTAATGTGCCCGCATAGTCTTAGCTGGCAAGCACTTGGGTCCGCAGACGGACGCGTGGCACGAGCTTCGCCCACAGTTGGATTTCTGACTGTTGGACAAACTCATCACCATCCAAGTTTCGCCTGTAGTGTAAACTCGTCATCATGAGGGTTTCGCCTGCAGCATCAATTCGCCATCAACTAAGTTTGGCTTTCAACTCAAACTCACCATCATACGGGTTTCGCTTGCAGCGTGAACTCGCCAGCGGTTGAGTTTAGCCATCTACTCGAACTCGCCAGCAGTTGAGTTTAGCCATCTACTCGAACTCGCCAGCAGTGGAGCTTAGCCTCCAAGCAAAACTCGCCGCGATCGAGTCTCGCCTGCAGACGAACTCGACAATCAGTCGAGTTTTACCATCCTAGCGAACTCGCCATCGCCCTAGTTTCGCCAATAGCGTAAACTCATTGGAATAGAGTTTGGCCGTGAAAGTAGACTCGCCGTCACGCAAGAGACTTCGCCTGCGGCACGAGATTGTCGGCAATTACAGAGCAAAACACTAGAAAGCGACTTATCAAAAGGATATACGCACAATGAGCGGACACAAACCTCATTGATGCTTCTAAACAGTACATTTGAACAAAGTTATGGTTTTTCCAATTGCGAAAGTCATAATATTACGTTCAAAGAAGCAAAACATACACCCAGTGTTTTAAGACAATACATTTGAACAAAGTTATGGCTTCATAAATAAACAAGTCATAAGCAAAATGTCTTAACACAGTCGCAAGTCCGAGATCTCAGTCGAACACGCTAAAAGAGGAGAGCTCTTCTTTGGCCGCCGCCACCCTTCTCGCGTGGTCTTCCCGAGCTTTGTCTTCAGCAGCCTTCTGAATCCGGTCTTCACGGCACGACCTGGCAGCAGCATCCTTTTGGCGTAAGGCTTGGAGGCTTCGAGTTTCCGCCTCAGTGTTCTTACTGACCTTTACAATGTCGGACTGGGGCCCCTCCAAGTTCATCTCCGCCTGTCCTAATTCGGCCCTCAGGCGAGCTATGGTGCGATTGAGGCCGATAATTTGCTCCTCCAGTGAATGTTGTTGACCCACCCAGAAGTTGACGGTGGACTCCAAATCCGCTATTTCTTTAGAACAGACCTCCTGTTCCCAGGCTTCATGACGCCTGACATGAACCAGGCAGGACTCCATGTCGGCTTTCGGTCCTTCCCGTAGTAATGTCTCTAACCTTATCATGCGTGACTCCAAAAGACGGAGCTCCTGCATGCAACGCGTAGCAAGCCGGTTTTCGCCCGATCGCCGAAAATCGACCACGCGATCGAGGAGAGATTGCCTGAAACCGTCAAAGCTGCCCATGCCAAGG